AACTTCCAAGGGAAGTGGTGCTGGCCCCTACCCTGGGGGTCTTTAAGAAGAGGCTGGATGCCCACCTAGCTGGACTCGTTTGAGTCCCATTTCTCTTTTTGGGGTTTTTGTTGTTCTCCCGCCCTGGCGGGGGGTCGGGCTAGAAGATCTACTAGGTCCCTTCCGACCCTTAATCTATGAATCTATGAATCTATGAAACTGAAATGGCAAGTCCGGAGCAAGGCTCACACGAGCAGAGCCTACTTCAGAGGGTGTCTTTAGAAACGCATGAACAGTCAGCTTCTTGCACAGCTTCAGCCTACACGTGTTCCACTGCAGGCAGCCGTGCCCAAGATTCACTCTGGTATCTCGACCCATTCAGTGCCCGGTGACTGCAGGTGGTCACAGACGACTTCAGAGCAAGCTGTATTCTCTGCTGTTCCCAAGACCCAGGCAGGCTGTCACTGAGGTGGGAGGAACAGCCACTTCACCAGCAGTAAGGATTTTTATTTCCTACAAGGAAGCAGCTGCTTTCCCGGCAGTGCAGGACCCAGCCCGGGTTGAGTCTCACTGGGATCCCTGGGGCTCAATCTCCACCCTGTTCAGAACACCTGCTCGAAGCAGCCCTGCAAAAACACGCTCTGTACTGAATCATTAACTTCAGTACTTTGCACCCATGAATGCACATAACATAATTCCAGCCGCCATCGCATTTGGCAATTAGGAGATCATGTTAATGATGTGATCTCAGTCCTCGAGATCATTAAACAAGCAGGGAGTAAAAAACGAATGAGGGAGACAGTGAAAGAGAAAGCCAGACCCTGAGATAGCTATGAATAATTTATTCTAATCTTCTTAAACTATAACAAAGACATAATCACTCACGGATAGAGACAGATCAAACCCCACCTGCAAGGAACCTGAGAAGTAACTGCGCAACAAGAAAACCAGCCAGTAAGAATCCAGGGAAGAAAAAGAATAAAATAAACAGACCAAAAAGCAAGAATACACCCAAGCCTGATGTGAGAGGTGATGCATGACCATGAGAAACGCACAAACTGACACCCTGCCCTCCACAGAATAAAGAAAAGCAGCAGGGGAACAACACAATGACCAACGACAGAAGCATTAACTGGGCAGATGACAATTGCCCTGTTGAAGAGATTGTTTACTGGACATCATGGGAAAACAGGATGAGTACAAGCCAGTGCAGCTGCGCACTAAACAGTCCTCATACCATAGCAGGCGACTGTAACGTTCAGCTGAAGCAGTCCATATCCCTTTAGCAAAAAATTACCCACGTCAACAGCAAAGGTTGGTATTCGCGCTGCAGTCACCGAGCCCACTGATCTGGTCGGGCAGAGATGCAGCATATGATACGTTCATTCACATCTAGCCTCATGTGGGTTGTGGACAAGCATAATTCTAAACCACCTCAACAGGGAGGGAGGGGGGGAGGGAGGGTTACCCCTCAGAAGCAGGTATCAGCTTAATCAATGTCTCTGCTGCACTGGCATAGCAGCTGTACCACTGTAACTTTAAACCAGAGCGAACCAGGTTTAGTGCTGCTACAGTTTAGCTTCCACTTAAGAGCAGAATAGACTGGAGAGTCTGAACAATCATGGCACTAAACAGCTGCCAGCACTAATTTTCAAGGGCTTCAGCTGTTGGTCTGTCCATGCCCATACGCAATTCTCGAGTTCTGCCCTCATGCCCAGCGCCAGAGTATCTAAGAGGTGAGGCGAGAATTTGTGGAGAGGCCAATTTCTGCTCTGCAGGAGCACGTTTCAGTGGGAAATGTGTTAGAAGCTGGAAGCGACGCTGGCACTTCTAAAAAGACGAGTGCTCCTCTGCCCTCTGCAAATCTGCACAGCAGAGCTCCCAACCCTCCACAAGACCAAGTCCTGTCAGACAGAGGCTGGATCTCTTCAGGTGGAACCCAAGAGCCAGGTGAGGCTCCCAGCAAGAAGCCAGCCTGCCCTTGCTGAGCTCTGCATCCCTTAATGAGACAGGAGCTCCGTCAAACCCTCAGAAGTGCTTCCAGCTGGTTGCTCACCCCTTCCTCTTCCCACCTCTGAACCTCCCATCTCGATCTCTCTCCCCTGTGCACTCCACACAAAGTCCCAGGCTGACCATCCATGCGCCCCAGGCTCAGGGCAGCTGGCAACCCTGCTGGAGGTTTCATGCGACCTATTCATCCGTTATGACAAAGCAGCCCCTGAAAAGACGAAGCGCGCTCCCATCGTGTGATGGC